TGACAAAAATTATGTCACTTTCCTATTTTGAATTGTACCATATATGTTCCCATCTTTGTCTTTACGTGAACAATTGACTTGCCTTTGCATGTATTTATGATGGATGCCACTGGTGGAGCAGGATACCTGGTATCATCACTATGATACATCATGAGCATGTATACTGTAACCCAGAATCCCTTAAAGGGGGATGCAGACGGTTGGTTTGGTTTGTTGTTTAACGCCGCACTCAGCAATATTGCAGCTATATGATGGCGGGCTGTAAATAATCGAGTCTGGACCAGACAATCCAGTGATTGATATCATGAGCATCGATCCACGCAATTGGGATCGATGACATGCATCAACCAAGTCAGCGAGCCTGACCACCCGATCCCGTTTGTCGCCTCTTACGACAAGCATAGTCGTCTTTTATGGCAAGCATGAGATGAAGACATTTACAATTTCATGAAACCCAAGGCCATGGCAATGATAAGACAACTAGTGAACACTCATTACTGGTAATGTACAGCATGAAATGCACATGAACCTCACGACAAAATACTGTCAAATGTGACAGCCATCAGGCATCAGCAAGAGTCATTTTTTATTCCCAGTCTGTCATTTTTCCAGCCTTAAATATTTTCAGCTGTATTCCAACAATCTGACACGTTCTGTAGTCGGAGTAATTTGAATATTTAATGGAATGTTTTCAAAAATGTTATAGGAACAGTCTGGAATCAATAATTCATTCTGAAATCTACAACCCCGTTGTATTGACAGGGAGCTACAAACTGAAATGGACAAGAGATTGCCCCCAGACCAAGTGACTAATCATTTTTCACCTCTGGTCTTCCCTGCCCCCAAAGTAAAACAACAAGATGACTATCTCATTTCTCATTAATTAACATGATCAATATTGGATTAGCTTGGCATTCTTGAAGCCTACCTATTTGTCTTCAACTGACATTATATTCCCACAGGGCTCCTGGCAACATAAGGTACCATATTTTGGTTCCAGAAAATCAAGGCTATAATCGGTTAGACGACCGGTGCCAATTTGATGCGGCTTGCAAGGTTTCTTAAGGCAATGAGCAGTATTGTTGGTAATTTGGCATCTAGTGATGCATTTTGTTTGCTGGAGAACTCTGGTTGAAAAATTCCTGGAGGTTTACCAATGTTTGGCACTGATTTTGACAGTGGTGCCAAGAAAAATGTCTGTGCAAGACAAATTAGCTTGAAAATTACCTGAACCTTATTCTTCAAAGGTAGTTTTAGGAAATGAGGGGTTGTCCTTGACTTTCAAAGCAGAATATTTGTGGAAAGTATTTGTGTGTAAATGGTTTAGAGTAGGGTTCTACACTATTGGTTCCAAATTGATTCTTTACGTATTTCTCTCCCTTGATATTTCCTGTTACACATGTATGTCTACATGAATGCATGCACATTGGATTCATGAGTGCAGATGGTTGTACATGCTTCTGGAATGACACAAATCTTCAAAAAGATATTTTAGAATTCACATTGTCAATAATGCAGGCATATTAAACTGACAGAAATCTTCAAAAAGATGTTTTTGAATTTACAATGGAAATTATGCAGGCATATTATACATACATTGTTACATAAATATGCATGCATTGTCACACACAAGTATGCATGTGTTACCACATAAGTATACATGCATTATAAAACAAGTATGCATGCATTATCACATGACTATGCATGCATTATCACATGACTGCATCTCACCACATAAGTCTGCATGCATTATCACACAAGTATGCATGCATTATCACATGACTATGCATGTGCTACCACATAAGTCTGCATGCATTATCACACAAGTATAATGCATGCTGTAAGAATCCATAACCATGTGTTCCTTTCCAATAAGAGCATTGTGAAATTGAATATATGTGAATTGTTTAAAAGTTTCAACCTAAACCTTTCAACTATGTATGACTGTGGCTACATCTATCCATCAATCTCATCATGAAACAATTCTAATGGAATATACTGGAACGAAAAGTGGCCATTTTTTTCTTGCAGTGACCTGGATAACAGGAGTCCCTTGCCTACAAGTCCGTTGATAACTGAGCCTTGTTAACTGTCAGGGGACGTTCGATGAGGTGATCTATGGCTATTACAGGACAAAGTCAAGTGTAGTGTTTCTGTAGTGATTAGAAACGGTTTTAAATAACCATATACAACAGGACCATCACCTTAAACATCCAGAAGTGTGGTTCATCTGAAAGTCAGAGGCAAATTTAAAATGAAAAGAGTTTTGAGTGTGTTGTAACATCGATCAAAATAGCCTAATTCATTCCTGAATGATTCTAACTATATTTATGGCGGTAATATGCATGGAATGGCTGAATGGTGGGTGAAGGGGTGAGTGGGTGGATGGTTGTGGAGTTTTGTGGATGAGTTTACCTTTGGGTGAGTGGGTGAGTGAGTGAGTGAGTGGGTGAGTGGGTGAATGGGTGAGTGGGTGGATGGTTGTGGAGTTTTGTGGATGAGTTGACCTTTGGGTGAGTGGGTGAGTGAGTGAGTGGGTGAGTGGGTGTGTGGGTGAGTGGGTGGATGGTTGTGGAGTTTTGTGCATGAGTTGACCTTTGGGTGAGTGGGTGAGTGAGTGAGTGAGTGGGTGAGTGGGTGAATGGGTGAGTGGGTGGATGGTTGTGGAGTTTTGTGCATGAGTTGAACTTTGGGTGTGTGGGTGAGTGAATGAGTGAGTGAGTGAGTGAGTGTGTGTGTGAGTGGGTGGATGGTTGTGGAGTTTTGTGGATGAGTTGACCTTTGGGTGAGTGGGTGAGTGAGTGAGTGGGTGAGTGGGTGTGTGGGTGAGTGGGTGGATGGTTGTGGAGTTTTGTGGATGAGTTGACCTTTGGGTGAGTGGGTGAGTGAGTGAGTGGGTGAGTGGGTGGATGGTTGTGGAGTTTTGTGGATGAGTTGACCTTTGGGTGAGTGGGTGATTGAGGGAATATTTGGTTGTGAAGAATTTTGGATGAGTGGATTGTAGATCATATGTTTCTGGCTTGTCCAAGCAGTTCAACACTGCACCACAAAAAGCAGCACCTCAAACACCTGCCCCCCTGCGTCCCCTGGCATCTTCATCTTCCAACAATTCTAAGCCTGAAATGTCCTCCATGTTCTAGTGCAGTCGATTGCTCAGGAACTGGTTGGAGATTTAAGAGGGAGTGGGTGAGTTGGGTTTAACGCCACTTTGAACAGTATTCCAGTTTAACACCTATTAAAGTGTGGAAGATCTTATTATAGCCTGTATGAGATACAAACTTGTCAATGTGTACGGATTGAAATGACAAGGTATTAAGTAAGCAAGGGTCCTGTGCAACATGATACTATTACTTGCACAACTGATTATGGATAGTTCAAAATCTTCTTTTCTTCTTCTGATATTCTTTGAAGTGTGATGACTGCCAAACTACAGGATTTATGGCAATGATGTAATAGAGGTTTTGTGGCAATAGGAATTATTACCAATAACCAAGAATAGTATCGACTATCCATATCAACTTTCATCCAATGCCATCCGACCAAAGGAAATCACTATGCATCACTAGTTTGATAAACACCCATTGATATAAATGGATATTACTACATATATTTGTTAAACATCGAAACAATCACATCTGTAGGGATTCCATTCCTATCCATCTTTGATTCCATATGATGATGATGATGATGATGATGAAGAAGATTAAGATGATGACAATAATAATGATGATAATGAAGATTATGATGATGACAATAATATGATGATGATGAAGATGATGATGATGATGATGATGATGATGATGATGATTTACATGTGTAGCACCTGATATCCAAATCTTAGCTGTTCAGTGGTGCTTGAATTTATCAAAGATGACTGAAGAGATGTTATAAGGTGAGCATTGTTGAAATCTGAACCTTATTTTACTTGTCATTTTTCTATTTCAATAGAGCCACCTAATATAACCCTGAAATCAATATCTGTTTCATCAACACAGATTTTAATCAATAACATACAAAACGTTCACACAGCTGTGTTCCAAACTGATGAAGTATTTGTTCATAGCAAAACCTGTGAATGCTCGAATTACCTGTGACCATGATGAATTTAAATGGAGTTGGACAAAATCAATAGATATCATGTGTACAATTTCAACATATGTTATTTCACTTCATTTAGTGATAAGAGGTGTTTAAGTGTGTCATATTCATGGAGAAGCGAGTAAGTAAGTATTTATAAACCTACTTTCAGCCATAATCCAGCTGTCTCATGGTTAGGGCCACCATTGTACCCCGTGGAGAACTGAACCCAGTCCTCAGCAGGATGAGCAAACGCTTCAACCACAAGGCTACCACAGGAAGTAACTAATAAGATTTAATGCATCTAATCATACTGCATTATCAGACACTAACCATTTGTGCATTTGTTCCAGTACATATTAATTTTATGATATGCAATAGTAAATAATTCTTGGTTGTTAATCCATTAACAGAAACAATTATTAAAATTCATGATCATGTGTCATGCAATAAAAATCAATATCTTCTTCCTTGCAATTAAACTTAATATCATATAATTTTATATTATTATTTTTCATAAATATTATTTTTTAGTATGCTTAGTTTAACATCAATGTGTTACAGATATATCATGACACCCTTTAAATAGTAGTTTGGGCCTGAGGAGACTAGTGGTCGATAGCATGAACAACGGTCCTTGCCATAAAATGACACACACCAGCAGGTCCATTCTATACAACTCAAAAAAAGATTAACTATAGTAATATGAAAACATCTGGTGATCCTTAACTTCTTTTGTGTAGTATACATATTTAATAAGTATTAGTCAGCATATTTCCACATAATTTCTTCCTTCATCACGAACCATATGGTTCAAATATCACTTTAGAGTGAGTGAGTGAATTACACCTTTAATATGCCAGCAGCAATATTCTAACATCACTTCAATCATCAAGTGTAAAGACATAAAGAAGGAGACTTACCATAAGTCTATTCTTGGACTGAATAAAAGACGATGATGACCCATGACCCTGCTTGCTTGCCGGGACAGGTATCCGTGTCATCCTTGGTGGGGCCACAGTACCTGTTGCCATGACTATAGATTATCCGTATCCAAATCCTATCCTAATCCACGAGCCCGAAAAAACTCTGGTACAAATCCAATCCTGAATCCATCATCCGATAACATAATCTCTTCTTCCATAATACGTTCTGAAATCACCATCCACTTCTCACATCCTTGAAGCGTGGCTTGTATCCATTGAGAAGTGATTCCAATAACTCTCCGGTCAAAAGAAGTGCTCCACTGGCCAATTAGCCACTAGCCAGTTCCCGTCCATATATACATATATTATTGCAAACAACATCCTGGTAATACGAAAGGATTGCCTAGCATAACAAATGTCAGTAGACACATCAATATGAAGGGATCGCTCATCAGAGATTGAAGTAGGGTTGACTGGATACCATGCAGTTGTTTACCATTTCAGAATATTCAACAACCCAACCACTTGCTTAAGACTCAGTTCTGAAATGACTCCATCAGCGCCAAAGTGTAACCTGTCTGATAATTCCTGGTAAAACGGTTCCATGTGCTTATTCAATAAAACATTCATTTCATTTGTACATGTATCGTTCATTAACTCACAGACCATCTATTAAACACAGAGCACCTTTCCAATCACCAATGGTGCCTATTTTGAGGAATCCAACATGTGTTTGTCTAACCGACAAGGCTGATCTGGAAATTGGCATCGCTGACTATGTAATCCATTGACAAACAATCCAGGTCTGGTGGAGAAATATACCCTAGAACCGCACTGAGCAGATGGTGTAATACATTTGATTTTGGCATAAATATCAAGGAATGGATCACATGAAACACATGCCTGACAGCATGTCACATATTTCGTATCAGAAGTTCATATGTCACTTGCCAGATCCATTTCATTTGATTCAGCCTGGAGCTGTATCTTCAAATCAACTGGTGACATGTCAGTATTGTACAAAGGCTCTTAACAAATCCCATGAAATTGTCGCCAAAATGACTACATAACAATCCTGAAAGCGATGCAGACATGAATATTCTATAATATCCCATGAATATATATACAGTTTTGTTATTTTTTGTGAATGAGTCTTCTGATAAAATAGATTTTCTATTTAATCAATTATTTTATAAACACATTTAGATTTGGTATAAATATATCTCTCTTCCATCCAAATATTGTGATACCTACATTTATGTCATCATGATCCAACCGGGTAAATAACAGCTGTTGCATAACACTGTCACCATCCACAATGATAGCATTCCACACAATAATCATCCATCCTTTAAACGAATCCTGAAGGCATCCCACTAAAATCCATCACTTGATCTTCTATTGTAAAAACCTGCTCCTATTCTCAGGACGGGTTATCTCCGCAGTCGTATGCCGAAAGGTATACAGTTCCAATCAATCTACACACAAGCCGAATACACTGTTACACATGTTTGTATACTGATCCATTCCAGCATATCCCGGTCTCAGCACTGTCCCGACCCACTGACAGACGGACCTCCAGTTGGAAGCAGACGTACACTTTCCAATCACTCGGAACACACTGCTACTACCTTACTCCACTACACATGTTTGTTTATTCAGCCATTCCTCTGCTGCCACCAAGTTGCAACCACTGCCTCTGCTTATAGCTGACAGGCAAATTGTCTTCTGAACACCTAGCAGACGGGCAGAGCAGGGGGTTCAGCTACGTCTGCTCAGCAGCAACAATTGACTGATGCAAGTAAGAGAGGATAGGACAGGCAGAATGGTAGCTCTACTTTAGTGTAACTAAGACTGCAATCTCACTATCTCCACACAAGTGGGTGTCATTTTGTTCACCTTGGCAACGCAGGAACAAGTTTGTTTTTTTCGGCAGATGCGGATGTTCGTTAATGACAAACTCTGTTAATGTGTTATGGATATAATGCTGAACAATTTTTATCCATTTTTCTTCAAATAATCAATATAAAAGTACTGTATATCAGTCTTTGACTGATCAAATTTGAACTCAGTACCGATGTAGGCGTCTGGTAGTTTGCATAGAAAAATACATTCTTATCATCAGCTTTCATCCACCTCAGGATTATTAATCAAATCCATAGAAATGAAATATTAAGAGGATTTTGAATAAAATGGCGCAAAGGATGAATTGTTTATATGTACTTAAACAGCACTACTATTAGACCTAATATAAACACATATACAAAATGTTGGCAAGTTGTCATATTAACATGATCAATAGTTAATGTGTCATGCGTAAGTCACGGACACAGGGATGATACATTTGGCACGATTCCCCCAAATGCTTATCCATTGTTAATGTGGCCGTCTGCTTACCTAAGTAATGGCACTGCGAGTGTTTATAATGTCTGGGAGTGTGCTTGCAATTGAGAAATGCGCAATGTTTTAAATGGAGTCATCGAGAATGGTCAAATTACTCCAGATCAGAAGAGCAGGCGGACAAATGTCTATTATTTCTCTAGAGATTGGCATTAAGCTGGGAGAAGAGTGCCAGAATATCAATCTGCTTTCATTTCAATGTGCATCTAGATACACTGAAGGGCTAGCGTATATTCCATGAATGATAAACTGAAGCTAGTCTTGTAAGCCTATTCCGTCTCTCTCCTCACCAAGGCCACTGTAGTAACGACAAATCTATAATTTTTCATTTGCGGCGGGAAAGCTGGAAGCTGATGTCGGCACCAGCCTTACCCGAGTCAGTGAAACAATATACGTTATCCATTGTGTTCATACAATACAACAATACCAAGGTGTTCGCACAAAGCATAGGATCTTGTGTAACTCAATTACATAACGTGTAAACTGATTTGAATGCTTATGTCATAGCTAGATAGGTTATGATAATTCATTCAAATATTTGCATAATTTGGTGTATATGTTTGTAGATTTGTCATTTATTAGAACTGCATTCATATATCCCACCTTAGATGATAATTTGAGAAAATACACACTTCTGTTCCATTTCAATATGAAGGATTTAGAAATAACTAGATGAACTCTCTATACCAAGAAATGTGTGAAAAATGTGAATAAGATCATTGATAAATAATCAATACCTCACACATAGATAATGTCATTTTAAACTTAATCATATTTACTTAATCACATTTAAGATTTGTTTCTTATATCCTGATGGCTCAATGTCGGTTAATACCATTTACGCAAGTAAAGATGGCAAAGTTTCTGTCTCAGAATATCAAAGTAGAATCAGATTTTTCACTTTTTCTTCACAAATATCTAAAATATTTTTATATGTCAATTAGAGTTAGAGTGATGTGAAAGCGTGTATGGTTTATTAACTTGGGTTGATAAAAAATATGGATTGCAAGGCAGGCCGATAGATTGCCGTTTCTTCCCTCTAAATCCAAAACATAGGTCCCCCTAAAGTGCTTCAGATGTGTAATGAAAGTAGCAACAGTTTCAAATAACCTAACATTTCAATTTTGTTATTTGATCAATTTAATTATCTCTAGCATAAATAAAAGTTGCGGAGTAGAGACAGGCTACTCCCACAAATGTAATTTCACAGTACATCTGAGAATGATCTCTCAACTCTGTGTGGCAGTTTAAGTTTGACCACATGGTAATGAAAATAGAGGTAGTAATTTTGAATCCTGTTACAAATGTCAGACTTGCGATTACATGAAACGACTGCACACATCTAGATGCACACTTTCATCCGCTGCAGCAAATTAGCTCTGCAACATCGTTTATTTCTTTTTCTGGTCTGAAATGACAATTCTTGTCTATGTGATGCGAAACTGATTGCAGGCAGCACTCCAGTGATGCTATAGTCTGTTTGGGAATTCCTGATAGGTTAGGAATGACACTTCTGTTACATCTGTTGGTCTTTGTTTAACAGTGTTCTGTATAACAGTTAATTGTGTTGGACTTTGTTTAACAGTGTTCAGTATAAGAGTTTATTCTGTTGGACTTTGTTTAACAGTGTTCGGTATAACAGTTTATTCTATTAGACTTTGTTTTACAGTATTCGGTAAAACAGTTAATTCTCTTGGAATTTGATTGACAGTGTTCTGTACAACAGTTAATTGTGTTGGACTTTGTTTAACAGTGTTCTGTATAACAGTTAATTCTGTTAGACTTTGTTTAACAGTGTTCAGTATAAGAGTTTATTCTGTTGGACTTTGTTTAACAGTGTTCGGTATAACAGTTAATTCTGTTAGACTTTGTTTAACAGTGTTCAGTATAAGAGTTTATTCTGTTGGACTTTGTTTAACAGTGTTTGGTATAACAGTTTATTCTATTAGACTTTGTTTTACAGTATTCGGTAAAACATTTAATTCTCTTGGAATTTGACTGATAGTGTTCTGTACAACAGTTAATTGTGTTGGACTTTGTTTAACAGTGTTCTGTATAACAGTTAATTCTGTTAGACTTTGTTTAACAGTGTTCAGTATAAGAGTTTATTCTGTTGGACTTTGTTTAACATTGTTCGGTATAACAGTTTATTCTATTAGACTTTGTTTTACAGTATTCGGTAAAACAGTTAATTCTCTTGGAATTTGATTGACAGTGTTCTGTACAACAGTTAATTGTGTTGGACTTTGTTTAACAGTGTTCTGTATAACAGTTAATTCTGTTAGACTTTGTTTAACAGTTTTTAGTATAAGAGTTTATTCTGTTGGACTTTGTTTAACAGTGTTCGGTATAACAGTTTATACTATTAGACTTTGTTTTACAGTATTCGGTAAAACAGTTAATTCTCTTGGACTTTGATTGACAGTGTTCTGTACAGCAGTTAATAGAGTTGGATTTTGTTAAACAGTGTTCTGTATAACAGTTAATTCTGTTAGACTTTGTTTAACAGCGTTCAGTATAAGAGTTTATTCTGTTGGACTTTGATTTACAGTGTTCAGTAAAACAGTTAATTCTCTTGAACTTTGATTGACAGTGTTCTGTACAACAGTTAATTGTGTTGGACTTTGTTTAACAGTGTTCAGTATAAGTGTTTATTCTGTTGGACTTCATTTTACAGTGTTCTGTATAACAGTTAATTGTGTTAGACTTTGTTTAACAGTTTTTGGTATAACAGTTAATTGTGTTAGACTTTGTTTCACAGTGTTTGGTATAACAGTTAATTGTGTTAGACTTTGTTTCACAGTGTTTGGTATAACAGTTAATTCTCTTGGACTTTGTTTAACAGTGTTTGGTATAACAGTTAATTCTGTTGGACCTCGTTTGTTCTGTATAACAGTTAATTCAGTTGGATTTTGTTTTACAGTGTTCTGTATAACAGTTAATCGTGTTGGACTTTGTTTAACAGTGTTCAGTATAAGAGTTTATTCTGTTGGACTTTGTTTGACAGTGTTCTGTAAAACATTTAATCCTGTTTAATTTGTACATTGATGATTTGTAGATGCTAATCTTGCATAAGAACCTGCTGCATTCTGGATTGATTTATGCTGATGTTGAATGTGTGCAGAATGGTATAAAGATCACTTTCTGAACCCATGTAAATGTGTAATCATGCAGAACAATATTTCTTGTGACAAATGTAGCCTATTTCCCACTGACCAAAGTAGATATGACCATCTAGCTTTGGTCATCATCATCATCGTCGTCGTCGTCGTCGTCGTCGTCGTCGTCGTCGTCGTCATCATCATCATCATCATCACCTTCTTCTTCTTCTTCATCATCATCATCATCATCATCATCATCATCATCATCTATAATTTCATTCAAAATATGTCTTTTGGAAACACACCATTAGAACCAGAATATCACAAGCCCATATAAATCAGAACCTGACGTCCAAGTTGGTCTTACCAAGACAGCACTTGAGGAGCCATCATTCCTGATCCAATATTCCATATGCTGTGGGAGCACACAATCCACTTAACCCACAGCACGGAAACCACGGCTGAATTTGTTAATTTGGTTGGAGGAGGTGCTTGCATGTTAAGCACTTACTTTGGCGATAACAGACTGATCATTAGTGTACGCATGCCAAATATGCTATAGACTAAAGTGGGGGTAACCCTTGGCAATAACAAACACAGACATGCAGCCATGCAATCAGGACTCCTGTAAATGATTTAAGCAGGGGCTTTAAAAAATGGCTGTCTCCTTAAATCTTACTTTCCTTGAAAGGCCATTTGTCTGATCCTATACTTATTTCAGGGTCAAAGGTCACCTGACTGCCTGACCTTAAAGGTCTAGGTCATGCATATAAAGTCATGGTAGGTAATGGGGTGGCGAACTGAAGTAAAGGTTGTCGTCACTTCCCATATGGAATCTTGAGCTCGCCCCACATGAACACCTCAATTACTGACCACATTCACCGTCAAATTAATCCTTCCCTTTTTGAAATTATTACGGCCTTGGAATTCCTGTGTCAAAATGCATTTGTTAACAAATTCATATACCATATTCAACGTAATAAGCGCCCTGCTCTAATAAGCACCCACGGCGATATTTGCTAATATATTGGCAAGTGAGCAATCCAAATAAGCACCCCTTCCGATTGATCAAGGTACACAAGACTTATTTATTTGTGTATAATACGCGCTCGTGTGTTATATGCACCCTTAATTATGGGCAATTCAATTCTGGAAAAACATATCTGTTGTATATAAACAGTTCAGGCCGTCAGCATAAA